TTTTTTTTAGATCAAAAGTAAATCAAATAAGATACATTGAAAAGTTCACATTTGATCTTATTTTAACATAAAATTATTGCATTTTTCTGACCTTTTTCGGATTTCAGTACTATTACCTCCATATCCGAACGCTTAAATGTGCCTACTGCCACTCGGGAGGCCCATGGTTCGATTTCTGGTCGCAGCCACATCAAAAAAAGTTTATTCAATGCACCTCCGCAGACAACGCCAAACCTCCGAGTGTACTTCTGTCATAAAAAAAGATTCTTCGGAGGTGAAGTAAAAGTGTAGATCTCTCCATTTGTGTCACAACATCAAGAAGCAGAGCACGAATTGGAGGAGAAGCTCGGCCAAACACGTAGAAAACTTAACTCAAAGCTTTTACTGGAAGGTCAAGATTTGTATGAAATTAAAAAACCGGTTCGTTTGAAAAAAAAAATCCGGTTTGTACGAAAAATGAAAATTAAATAAAAAACCCGCATATAGATTTGCAAAAAACTGGTGGAAGCCGGTTTGAAAAAAACCGAGTCAATCACCCTAGTTTGTATACATATGAGGGCTTTTGTAAATGTCTGCAAGTGTGAAAAACACTACGTCAAAACACTACTGCCAAAGTAAGCAGGTATCGTGAAAAGCAAATAATCGAACAGTAAAATCAGCAATTAGCACTACTTTTAAATACTATAGTTTTTCTTTTCGGACCTTTATTTATTTTTTTATTTAACTGGATTATAAAATGCGAGCCTTGTTTGAATATATCGCATGAGCACAATAAATTATTGAATGTTTATTGGCAAACAAATGTTTTTTTCTAACTATCTATTTTAACTAAAAAAGCTGGTATTCGAATAAATATCCTAAATGCTCACGGACTTGCATTATTGAACTTACATATTTCACTAGCACAGTAAAAATATTAATTTTTTATTATATGCATATTTTTAATTAGCCGCACATGTGAAACTGAAGTCAAAATGTACTATACTGTACTGTAAAGGCGCGCTCTCTGGTTCCCAGCGTCAATGCACAGTTTTGTAAGCCAGTTTATCCTTCGTGTGCTGTTTTGGCGGGAACGGGCTATAACCAAACCGATTAATATTAATTAGAGCATATGTGATCACCGATTCTTTGTTTTTTAATCTCATCTAACCCAGAATAAATTTCTGTCAGTGAAAATCGAGTCATTCGAGAAAGCCGAACCTCTTCATCAGATACGTATGGTTTTGGAACTCAGATCAAGACAGCAATGCGCACGAATTTAAAATCCTTTTAGCCATTGACAAAATCGTTAAAATTCTACCAATATTTCGTCTAGTTCATTGGTAACAGTACCTACTAATTGCTAAACATAGTATTTGACCTACTGACTGCCATCTGCAAAGGATGAAGTTAACAGGTTATCCTGCCTGCCTGCCTGACTGTATCATCATACAAAGTTAACAAAAAAAATTTTTTTTAGTAAATATGTGTGCATTATTATACACGCACAATAATTAATTGTAGCATTTAACTTTAATGGCATTAAAAATTTATTTGATTCACATACATATATATATTGTATAAAACAATGAGTTTTTAACACTCATGCATTAATGAAGGTGTAATTAATTGCAAAAAGTGATATCAATTATTCACAATTAAACTTTGGTACATCTATCAAAATTATTAAAATTTAAAGGCTAAGGGCCGTTTTCTCAAGTAACCTGTAAGTTTAAAGCGCCGAATGCGTTTTCTATGTTTGCGACATCTGTGTAGCCCATCGTGATAATCAGGGAACGGATTTTATGGAAATTCTTTTTTTCTGCTAAAGCGGTAGAGTATATTAGATTAAGAATGTCCACGATTTAGCTTTCATTGATTCCATATATACACATTTAATGTTGCCCTTTTTTTGCCTTTTTTAAGATATTTACCTATTTTTGCCTATTGTACCTTTAAAAAAGTGATTATAGCGAGGGAAAAGCCCTTATTCAAACGTTCAATATTTAAATTGGGCGCCACTTGTATCACCTAACGTCGAGCGCACGTTTAGTACATTCAAGGCTGCGTTAAAGCCTGTTCTGTTACAAAAAAATCAGGTTGATAATGAAAAATAACGATGGATAAATAAAGAAGTAATAAGTAGTCATATGAAAATGCCCAAAGATTTTTTGTTAGAAAAATTAGCAGAAAAAAATTTTACTCATACGCCAGTACATTTGAAAATATCTCGATAACTTATCCATAGAATAAAAAATTAACTCGATTTACGGAATCAGCAAGCAATTCTATATAGGAATTGGATATGTAGTGGCGTCCGTAGAACATTTTTCCTGTAAACCAGTGTTATTTTTAAGTTTTTGTCTTTTTTAGTGTCTTCTTTTGCCTTTTTTGCTATTTCTAGTGCCTTTTCCCGCCTATTTCGCTATTTTATTTTGCCTTTTCCAGCCCATTTCGTTATTTTATTTTGCCTTTTTTATAGGTTTTTAGGTCCTAAAAATCCGTTCTCTGGTGATAACCTTCATTTGAATTAACACAATGAAGTGATGTGATCTCAGCTGGAATCTGAGCTTGCTAGGCTTTACTTTGCTTTCATGAATGTTGTTCTGCCTTGGGACACAAAACAAGCATCATTTCAGAAGGGTAACCTTTCAGTCCAAATACCCCGCCAAATACCCCGCCCTCTAAATTGGTCAAATTGGCTTACATATTTCGACAGCCTCAAGTCCAAAAACAGTTGTTCTCGTTTAATGATATAACCTGATCTATGTGCCCATATCGGGCGCTGTGGTGTAGTGGTAAGCAGTGCGCGCTTCCACTCCGCAACGTCTGGGTTCAAGCCCTGGTCAAAGCAACATCGCAAAAAAAAATATGGAAAAAGGTTTTTTCTTAACAGCGGTCGTCCCTCGGCAGCCAATGGCAAACCTCCGAGGGTATCTCTGCCATTAAAAATAGCTTCTCATAAAAATACAATCGCCATTCGGAGTCGGCGTAAAACTGTAGGTCCCTCCGCTTTGTGTGGCAACATCAAGGCGCACGCCACAATCGGAGGGGAAGCTCGGCCAAACACTAACATGTCGTCGTTTAAAGTGCAAAACCGCATATCAACAAAATGCAAAACCGCGTATCAGCAAAATGCAAAACCGCGTATGTGAAGTTGTAGAAATTATTTTCTAGAGCGTAAAAACACTCATATTTCAAAATGGTTCTCTTTTTTATAAAGCAATCACATTTCTGGCTAGTAGATTTCAGGACGAATGGATAAAAATTGAGCCAAGAGCTTGTGTGTGCAAATACAATTTTTGGCAGCAAATGTCAGTTACGCGGTTTTGCAGAATGACGATACGCGGTTTTGTACTTTAAACGACGATATGTGTAAGCGCCAATCTATTTATTTATATATATATGTGCCCATATCCCGACTTGGTACAAGCAATCAATGTTGACCTTGGCATGTTAAGGATTTAAATTTGATTTGTGAAGGCTAACTACCGAATTAATGAAAGCAATACTCTTAAAAAAAATTTTCAAAATTTAATAATTACTTTTATGCACTTTATGCCATTAACATTTTATAATTGCTTTTGCCATCAATTACCTTAGATTAGTAGCTATACTTTTACATATCCAACCCAAGTATAAAAGCTGATAAGCGTTAAAAGCCTTAAGCTGATCGTTTCGGTTTTGGAACACAGTAAATATTTGTGTTGAAATAAGCAAAATAACTATCGCAAACTTGATCAGAAATACTTAAATATGCATATAGAATTTAGAATGCATTTAAGTGTGTGAAAGAAGAACGTAAAAAGATAATTTATTTTATATTCTAGGTGTGCATTTTTTTTTAAATTTCCATTAACACTTTAAGCCCCATTAACTTATCTATTTTCAAATATCTATGGCTAAATCATTAGTAATTTTTGGTAGTTAGGTTTAACTAATGATTTAAATGGGACCTTTAAAGCGCAGATTATAATTAATACATATTTGCTTATATTTTTTTATACATTTGAACATACACCCGAAATGGTTCGGTGGTAGGAGACTTGAGTCGAATGAAAAAGAAAGCGAATCTTTAGCCTAATTTTCGAAAAAACTCCACTTTACTAAATACCAAGTGCCGTTAGTTACACTTTGTTCTTCGAATTCCTCGATAAAACGGTAAAAAATTCTGGGTTGAATGAACTGAATACAAAGAAGACGAGGAGAAAAAAACTCCAATACATTAAAATTAAAATAGCAATTTAATGTGCGCAATAAATTCAAATTAAATATTTTTTCCATAATTCTAGGTTAATATACATAAAATTATGAGAGAAAATAAAGTGAAATAAATATGTCAAAAAAATGAAAAGCTTACCCGCATGTGACTTTCAGCAACAATTGACGCTTGTTTAGAAAAAATCGCTGTCTATGGTAAAATGCACTTCCTTTTCATGTTGTTGTTGCATTTTACAAATTTATTTATTACTTCAAATATTTTTGAGTTCATCTTCACTGTGCTATTATTAGATCAATTCGACGTGATTTTTTATATTCGTGCAAATTCTTCGCACAATTTTAATTAATTGCGGTTTTTATAGTTTGGTTTTACGGTGTTTATACGTTGCAACCATACGGTATCTAATTATAAGTATACGCAAATATATTCAAAAAATGAGTTAATTTGCTCTTATCTCGCTTTTAAGTTTCGATAATAAAAATAAAGCCTGCAATTGATGTGCAATAAATGGATAATGGGTGAATAAATGACATTATTATGTATATGCATATTTATTAGAGGTCTGCTAAGGAAGGCTGGTAGAGACATAGTAGTAACTGTAGTAAAAAGTTGAAGTTTCTGTGCGAGCAAGAAAAATCGAAAATTTTGAATTTTTTAGGAGAAAAAAAATTGTTTCCCCAGATATTTTTCAATGCAAAATAATTTTAATCTTTTTAGGCATTTATAATAGTAAAGTTCAAATTCCTGTTTATGAAAATTCCAGAACAAAATTCCAAAAAAGTCTCCAATAAAACGCTAAAAGTCCCAAAGAGTCATGGAAATATACCTAAGAATCCAAAAAAAAAAATCTAAAGGTACCGAAGAGATCCGAAAACTTTAAGAAAACGATTCTGAAAATATTGTGAACGAGTTAAAAAAAAGTTCCTGAAAAAAGGACGTCAAATAAAATACGGAAATCAACCAAGCGTTCGGAAAAAGTACCAATACATTGAATTTGCTATACATTCTTGGAAAAGAATTCTAGAAAAATCCTAACAGTTCCGAAAAATTTTCGAAAATTTCACAACAAGAATTCAAAAGCACAAAAAGTCGCGGGAAAGTCCAAAGCTTCGAAAAAATAAATAATTATGAATCCCGAAAGTCCCCATATGATTCCGAAAGGCCCGAAAGCAATTCCGAGAAAAGTTTCCAAAAACCATCCCAAAAATATTTAAAAAAAAAATCCCAACAAATTTCCAAGCAAAACCTAAAAATAATACGAAAGTATCCGAAAAAGTTCCAAACAATCGGAAATAACTTAATTTTACTATCAAGGCCTAATTTTAAAAAGTAAACCGTATTTTATTTTATTTAATTTTTTTAATCTAACTTTATTTCTAATTTTTATCTAATTTTTATTTCAGAAAAAAATCAAAAATCTTCAAGGCTTTTTGCTATTATTCCAAAAAGTTGTTGGTTTAAAAATAAAGTGTCATATCTATGAACTAAAAACAGGGGCGGTTCTAAAATAAATCATGAGTAAAATAATTTAAATCAGCATTTAATCATTATTTTATGATTTTTATTTTTTTCACTCAACGGAAATAATTATTATTTGATTTTTATTTTTTATTTATTTTTTGATCACAAAATAACAATTTTTTGATTTTTATTTTTTCGCTCAGAGATAATAATTATGATTGAGTTTTATTTTTCCACTTACAAATAATGATTATTTACAAAATTTAAAAGACCATACACACGAAATCATCTGAATTTTGAAATTTTTGGTTGATGATTATCCTTAAGTGAAAAAATAAAACTCCTTCCCTAACTAAAAACGTACGTATACAATCCTTGAAGAAGTTTGATTCGAAAACCGAAATCGAGTATCTCCGCACGATTTGCGGAGCTGTGGTATTTTCTTTCTACATATTTTACATTCGTTTCGGGTACTGAAAATATATACATATGCCTTTGCTTCCAACAAAGCGTTT